TCAAAAGAAAACTTCAGAAATTTTTTATCCAGGGTCCTTAAATCATTATGTATTTAAAAAGTCCATTTATAATAAGTTACGTAAAGTATTACATAATTACATAACTTTTTTTTCTCTATTTCGATTTTTATCTAACCAAAGAATTAAATACAATTAGATATTTATATTTGTTACATGTCAAATTTCAAGTCAATTGAATATCATAAATTATAACAATATCATATATAATTATATTAAATAAAAAATTAATTTTGTAAAGCTACAAATATGGATGAATAACTTACAGGTATAAGTTTATTTAAAACTCAATATACATGCATTTTAGTAATTTTTCCAACTTTCAAGCATGATTTATGTTGCATTAATCATTTAGCATTCCAAGGAATTCTTTTAAACTAAAATGTGATGCCAAGTAATTATATATTTAATGATTTTTTTATTGTATAGGTACAGTAATTATTGAGCATCAAAGTGCGAACTCAAAAGGATTTTTTTTTTTTTTTTTTTTTTTTTTTTTTGTCATGCTTCTAATCTAATTTAAATTAATTTTGGCATTTCCTATCTTTTGAATATAAGCTCAATTTGGATATTTACTATATAAAAAATAGAAAATGTTAAAAATTGGTATATTTATAGTACAATTATGCAATTTTGACCCAAAGGCCTTCACTAAGAATATATTGATGAACGACGCATAACATGTAATAACTTGAGGGTGCAAGCTTAGCATAACTAGGATGTGGTAACTTGAATGTTATAAGTTGATGTTCCCACATAAGTTACTCTATCGTTCCAAAGTACCAACAGCCTATGACTCAGAAAAGTAATGTTTAATGAATGATGGTGCAACCATTGTCATCGAGACATTATACTGCTAGTTTGCCCGTGACATTGAACCTTACAAACAATTCGTGTCCGTAACCAATATATCTATTTTGAGAATCAGTTGATGAAATAATTGTTGGTCTAAAATAATTAAACTCTACACCTAAATATGGTGGAGAGAATGCTTCTAATCTCAATTCAGTTGGAAATAAGACCCTAGTAAAATTATATCCAACATGGAGACTGTTACCACCAATAAGATCCCTGTTAGCTGGAAGTAAAATTATTAAGGAATGGCACATTCTTGGTATTGTACTTGGATTTAGCTAGAGAAAAGTTAATTTTAAGAGATATAATATTTTAAGAACATAAAAATAGTTAAATATAAAAAATAAGAAAAAAAATGATATTAGCTTTAGAGTTTATTTACTTCAAATAGTAAAAAATAAATGTTTTATGAAACTTTTTTTTTTTTTTACATTGATGGTCATTCTTTCAAATAGTTATATGTCCCAACCTTCTTCAAATTCTAAAAAAGCTTGAGAAACATTTGATAGACAATCCTCAAATCGTTATGTATTTAAGAAATGCATTTACCATAAGTTACGTAAATTATTACATAACGATGTACTTTTTTTCTATTTTGATTTTGACTTAACTAATCATTGAATATAATTTGATATTTATATTTATTTTTATTTTGACCTAACTATGTACCATAAGTGTTTGTCCTTCTGGAGACTTATGGTTGATGTTAGCTGCATATTACGGAGTCCAATGAACATGGGACCTATCTAGGTCTCCCTTCATTGATTGGGAGAAAAAAGAAGGCCGTTTTTCCTTATATCAGGGATAAGACCTGGAAGAGATTGTAGAGCTAGAAGCACAAACACTTTTCACGTGCAGGTAAGGAGGTGCTACTTAAGATCGTTGTACAGGCTATGCCAAATTTTTCAATGGGTGTGTTCTTATTGCTTAAGGAGTTGTGTAATGATATTGAGAAGATGATGAACTCATTCTGGTGGGGTACGAATGGGAGAGACAATAGGGGGATTCATTGGCAATTCTAGCAATGTTTATGTGAGCTAAAAAATAGGGGTGTGTAGGTTTCAAACAATTGCATGAATTCAATATAGCCATGCTTGGGAAGCATTGTTGGAGACTATTGATTGCTCCAAATAGTTTAATGGTGCGTGTTTTGAAGGCTAGGTACTTCCTTCGGGCTTCTTTTATGAAGGCCTCATTAGGTCACAACCCAAGCTATGTTTGGTGTAGTTTGCTGGCAGTACATAACTTGGTCAAGAATGGCAATACATGGAGGATTGAGGATGGGAGCTCGATCCATGTTTAGACTGGTCCATGGTTGCTCGATTCAGCTTGCCTGTTTGTTTAAAGTTTGATGATAGAGGAATTAGAGGATTTACGGGTGTTTCTACTGATCTTACATGAGGAATCAAAATGGGACATTATGTTCATTGATAGTTATTTTACTAATAAGGATAGTGGTTTAATCCTACAAATCCCTTTGAGTTTAAGAAAACCAAATGACTGTTGGTCTTAAGCAATGGATAGGAGAAGGGATTACTTGGTTAAGAGTGGCTATTCTATTTTGAGTGGGAGGTGTAATGTGCTTCCTCTTAGTCAGGAATCAATTTGGAACAAGCTATGGCGCATTAGGGCCCCTCCAAAGACCTTGAATCTATTATGGTGAGCTTTTAGGGATTGTCTCGCTACCCTATCAGAGCTGGTCAAAAAGAGAGTGGATGTTGATCCCGACGCCCAGTTTATGGGAATGAACCAGAAACTATTTTTCATGCTTTGGTTGATTGCCCAAAGTCTAGGGAGGTTTGGACCAAATCTTGTATAGTTTTAGAGAGAGGAAATAGGAGCTCATTCATAGTTTGATTGCAGTGTCTTTTTGCTAGGCTATCGACTAAGGAAAGTGAGGTAGCTGTTGCGTTTTGTTGGAGTGTGTTGCAAGGGAGGAATGATGTGGTATGGAATTGAAAGAATTAGCTGGTGGAGGTGATCTTAAAGGTGGCGTCAGACTTAATTTCACAATGGAGGAATGCTAAATTTGTTAGGGCATTAAGCTTTTTATCTACCACATAGCCAAGTATTGATAAATGGTCTCCCCCTCCCCTCAGTATGTTGAAGGTAAACTTAGACGCTGTTTTGTTCTCGTCCACTCATTATAGAGGAATTGGTTGTGTTGTGCGGGACTCTAGTTGGCTAGTGGTTGAAGCTTTCTCAAATATACATAGAATTATCTCTGATACAGTTATTACAGAATGTTTGAGTCTTAGGGAGGTATTGAGTTGGATAAAGGAACGGGGGATCTCGAAAGTGATTGTGGAGTCAAACGCCCAAGTGGTTGTACAGACCATGGTCAGTTCATCTATTTCCTCCTCTATTTTGGGTCTTAGTGTTGAAGATTGTAAATCCTTAATCAAGGAATTACTGAATGTCTTTGTAACGTTTGTATAAAGATCAGCGAATCTAGTAGCTCATCTTCTAGCTAGAGCTTCTTATTCTAAATCTAGTTTTATGTGTTGGGGACCGCAACCCTCAAATTTCTTGTTACCAGTTTTGGCCGCTGATCAATCCTCTTAATGAAAGTAATCTTATCGTTCAAAAAAAAAAATTAATTATAGTAAATATCATAAATTATGACTACATCTTACATAATTATATTAAATAAAAAAATCAATTTTAAAAAACTACATATATAAATGAACAACTTATAGTTCATTTAAAACTTAACGTACAATTGTAATTTTTTCAACTTTTAAGCATGATTGCTATTGCACTAGTCATTTAGTAGTCTAAACAATTCTTCTAAACTAGAGTGTGATGCATGCAATTATGTATTCCACAATTTTCTTTATGTACCGGCTTTAAGATACAATAATTATCGAGTAATCAAAATATCACCTAAAAAGAGGTTTTTTTTTCCCTCCATTGATCGTTATTCTTTCAATTAAATTGTGCTTATAGTAAGCATTTTTGTTTTTAACTTTATCATACTTTTTACCTAAATTTATTCTAACCTTTATTATATATATATATATATATATATATATATATATATATATATATCCAACTTATTTGATTTTGTTCTTTTTAATGGTGAGACATTTGTATTTTGTTTTAAAACTAACATATTATATATTATCATAATATATATTTCTTATCTATGTAATAGTTGAAACTCATTTTGCATTGAAGTATAATTTTGAGTATAATCAATATTTTATATTAAAAAAGTTCAAACGATAAATTCGATAGATATCCGAATTCAATCTGAATCGTTAGGATTTGGATCAATAATTGCAAAATCCAAATTTAAATTTATAAATTTCGATTCGATTTGTTTATTAAATAAATTAAATTCAGAGTTGACATGCCTATTTGAGACCGAGGAAGTAACACTTAAAAGAAAGTCTTCTTGCGTTACTAATCCCTTCGTATGTGTAGATAGATTAGGCAATCCACAAATCCAAGTACTTAAGTAAAATTAGAGGGATACAGTTGAAATTGGGATGAGCTCCAAGAATCCAAAATGTATTTATGCTAAATAAAACAACAACAACAACAACAATAATAATAACAACAACAACAATAACTCAATCCAAACCAAGGGGAGGGGTCAGTATAGAGGAAAATATGGGCTCTAAAGGTCCCTTTTAAAATCCGACATTTGATTTGGAGAGCAGCAACAGGTTGTCTCCCTACTAAGGATAACTTGAGAGTTAGAAGGGTGTATGTAGATCAAGTTTGTCCAACTTGCGGAATGGTGCCAAAGTCAATAGCGCATGCCCTATTGGACTGTCAAACAGCCAAGAATTGTTGGCTTCAATCCTATGTTGGATGGTTGGGAGGCCAGTTCTCCTCCTTTATGGAATGACTTATGTTTTTGTTTGCTAGGTACACACTACAGCAATGTAACAAGGCTGCTACATTGATTTGGGCAATCTGGAAGAGCAGGAATGAAGGGGTATGGAATGGTAGATCCATGTCGACAGAGACTATTCTACAAATAAGCATTTTAATGCTGGAGGATTGGTGTATAGCCCAAACCCGTAAGAGGCTGGCGGGGACTAACCAGACCCGGGTTTCTCCACACGACCAGAGATAGAAAAAACCTACTGCTGGTTGGTTGATTGCGAACACAGATGCAGCTATCTCTGTTAGGCATAACAGGTACAGTGTAGGCTATATGGTTATGGATGCAAAAGGACACTTTGTGGCTGTAAGATCACAATCGTTTGAGGGGCTAGTGGACCCAAAGGTGGCGAAAATATTGGGGGTGCGTGAAGCACTTAGTTGGTTAAAATAGTTGCAAGTCTCTAATGTTGTTATTGAATCTGATGCTCAATTGGCTATAGATTCAATTAACAATCAGGAGGAGGACAGATCTAGCTTCAGGCTGCTGATTGATGATTGTCGTATGTTAAAGGAGTGATATCCTAATTGTTTGTTTAGTTTTGTGAAAAGATCAGCGAATCAGGTGGCTCACAAATTAGCTAAATCATCTTTTTCTCTATCTGATCTAGTGGAGTGGGGTCATGTCCCTCCACAGTTCTTGATGTAATACTTGGTGTTTGATTTTGAGTTTTTTTTTTTTTTAAAAAAAAACAACAACAACAACTCAGTAAAATCTACACACCTATAAACGGGATCCAAAAGTAATTATCAATTTTCTCTCTCTTTTTTGTCATTTTCAAAGAAAATCATCTCAAATCAGTTTTAAATTGAAGTTCAATAAACAAGTAGTCCTTACAACTTCCTTTTTTTTAATTTTTTAATTTTTTAATTTTTTTTTTAAAAAAACCACCAGTTTCAAATGACTTTTTAACTTCTACAACAATCAATCCATCACTGTCAAGAATCACATGCCCTTGATGTATAAAAATCCCCACTCACATGACACCACTTCCCCTCTTCCAAATTCCAAACCTCCACCACCGCCACAGCCGATTCACCGCCATGATTTACGCCACCATCACCACCACCACCACCACAATCAATCCCCCTTCATGTTTTCCCCACCTTGCCGGCTCATGCTAGCTACAGGCACCTGGCTCCGAACCCGACGGAGCCGCTGCGTGTTCCTCCTCCTCTTCTCACCGATCCTCCTTCCCTTTCTTTGCGCCTCGTTGCCTCTCCTCTGCGCCGCAGAGCTATGCATCCGCCTCTGCCACGGTGGGCGGAGGAAGAAAGATGAAGACGGAGGCGATCGGTTGCGGCGGTGTGAAGAGGGTTTTTGTGACTGTGGTTGTGTAGAGGAAGAGGGGAAAGAAATTGGGTTATTGCAAAGGTATTTAGAAGATCAGTTACGGCTCGTTGGATCTATGTACGAGTGTGGTGATGAATTTGATGATGATCAAGATGGTCAAAATGATCATCATGATTATAATGTTGATACTCCTCTTTTGGGTTAGTTTTTTTTTTAATTGTTTTTTAATGTAAATTACATTTTGGGTTTGATGTTTTTGATGGTGTTGTTAATTAAGGTTTGAGAGTTTCGTTAATTTTAGGATTTCTTAATCTAATTTCAATTTTGAGATTTTTTTTTGGGTATTTTCTTAAAGGTATTTATTATTCCACTCATATAACCAAATTCCTTCCTAGAGGATATTAAAAGTGTTCTTAATTCTTACATTGGCATTGAGTATTCAGAGAATAAATTCCTTCTAACGTATGAAGATAAGTTTTCGTGGTTGAACTATCCTTAAAACAGATGTGATAAAAGACCAGGTTAATCCAGTAAACTGGGTGAAATCTCATCCCCTAATTTGTTACCAATTTGGGGTACCATTTCTTGCTAAAAAATAGTTGAAAAGAAAAAGTTATCAATTAAAATGGTTTTTTATAATAAATGGGATTTTGTTTTGAAGATAAAAGAAGGGATTTTGTTTTGAGAAATTGTTAAAATGGGTTCTGAATTTCGAATTTGAATTAAATACATTTGCTCAAGATTAACTGGATTTAGATTGGAATCATGATTTTTCACCTTTTCACCAGAGTAAAAAAAAAAAAAAAAAAAAAAAAGGATCTTTTTTATGGAAGAGGATGATGGGCACCAAACAAGGGGAGACTTTTAAGTGAGGCATAGATTCTGTCTATACAGTTGGATATGGGCCACTAATTTCAGCATCCCTACAGGACCCATTTGTGGGCCAACTAGGATTGTCAGGCGGATTCTGGTGTCCGAAGTGGGAAGCACCTGTTGTTATTTCTTTTCTCGGACATTTCAGTGATTGAGAAATTAAGGATGTTACAGAAATTGGATAAGTACATGTTAGCTTTTCAGGTCTGCCAAACCATCTAGGGTGTCCTTTTGCCTTGGCTGTTTTCGTTCTCTTCTTCTGCCCTTGTAATTCAATTTTCTCACGACTCAGGATGCTATATTTACAATGGTCATGTAATGATGGTAATTTTACCGAATGTTTTGTTTTCTGAATTTACTTCCCTTAAAAAAATTTCATCCATTAAATTAATAGAATTTATTAATGAGATTCATTTTTTCACTACATGAGATTCCTGTTTAATAGGTGGCGTGGACAAAATAAATAAAGTTACCAGTGCCGGTTAATTAATAGCCATTATTTGTTGAAAAAAAATATTTAAAGCATAATTATTAGATATTCAAAATATTTAAAACAAAATAAAAATAAATTAACTTGAGTATGCCGTTTCATATATATATATATATATATATAAACATAACACAATGAGTAGTGAAGGACATTGTTTTTTTAATAATCGTTTACAATTATTTTATATTTTAAAACATTCCATAATAAACTCATCCTTGATGCTGTATATGTATAATAAAATAAATAAATTTAGTATGAAATATAGAAATTAATTTTTAGTAGGTTTCTAATGAAAATAAATATATCATATGTTGCTTAAATGGGGATAAAAATATTCAAATGAAATATAAGGAAAAAAAGGTTGAATACCAAATAAATAACTAAAAAAGCAACTAGTAGGCAGGGGGAAAGGATGGAGATTTACTGGGGAAGGGAATGAATTGTTGGAAATCTTGAAATTATATTTTCTACAAGAATTTTATGTCACTTCAGAACAAAAAATAAATAAATAAAAAGACGATTTTATAATGGAAATTTCCTACAAGACACCAAATAAAGTCCTTAAAAGTTAAAAATAAGGTCAGTACAAAATGCTGGGTTGTATCTTCCGGAAACAGATAAACATGGGAAAGCAGAAGTTACAGTTATTTAGATTAAGTACTGAAATAAATCGACAAGTCAAGATGGTTCCTCCCCCGTGCTTAATACCTGAAATTTTTTGGTAAGCGAATTCTAAAAACTAGTTTTTTTATTTTTTTATTTTTTTTAATGTAAATGGTTAGTTTCACGTGGCCTTGTATCTTCACAGAGTTGGAAGTCCTGAACGCTCAGAGGATAGGTACCCTCCAGTCTCCACTCTCATGATTGTTGCAATCGACTATTTTTGCTTAAATTGTTTTCAAATGTGTTCGAACAATTGAAAAGGTAACAATCAAGAGTATTTTCTATGTTTCTTGAAAGCATGATGATGCTATAGGTAAGTGATGACATGACAAATGTACAAGTCCACACACTAAGGTGAGCTTCACCTGAAAATAAAGATATTATCTAATCCATTGTGAGTGTCGATTCATTGATGACGGGATCATGTAAGAAAGTTTTCCTTCAATTCATTATAATGTGCAAATTTAGCTTTCATTCAAATCTTTCCCACTTTTGAAAGGATGATGTTATTGTCGAGGGTAAAAATTTTGTGTACATTCAAGTTCATTTTCGTTTTTACATTAACGATAATGCCACTACAACAAAATTGATTTTAACAAAAGTACGTGTTATATACCCAAAAATCTAATAATTTGATTTTACATAAAAAGTATGTCAGTTAACTTGTTGGACAATTTGCTAGGACCAAAAGGTAGACTAATCATGGACGATTTGCTTGGACTAAAACACTTATTAATCATGAACTTTTTACTAAGCAAAAAGTTAAGGAAGATAAACGTAAGAGATAATTTTTTCTAACAATAGGAAAGAAAAAGGAACAAGATAATAACAGTTATAAAAAAAAAAAATGAAACACGACTATAGCAGTTATAAAGAACGGTGGAGCATTGCAAAGTTGTGTGGGCTATTGCAGATAAACGTAGAGTTTTGCAAGGCTACATTGGTGGTTGAAAAACAATGAAGTATTACAAAAGATAATAAAGGAATCGAAAACCTATAAATACAAGCTCCGACAAGAGGAAAAAAATACAATAATATAACATACAAATAGATTCAATTTGTAAATTACAAGTAGCTCTTTATCTCAAATTTCAATACATTTGAAATTTATTTGACAAAATAGCTGGTAGAAAATAATGAAGTAGGCTAATAGACTTATAAGTTAATAAATAGGTTTCTGGTTCTCATCATGTATCAACAGTTCATGACATGTTTGAAGTACCCATCTAGAAGCACTTTTCATTATCAATTAATGTGAGTGTTTATTTAGATTTGTTGCATTTTTCAATCTTGTCTTTTTTAGTATGTAAGTTGTTTAATCGTGTAATTTTCAATTCAAACTTGTTGTTTTGATTTCAAGTTAGTTTAAGATATTTGAATTGTTCACTTAAGATCATTATTATTGTGAGTAATTATCCTTGCAAACTCACAATCCAATTTATCTCAATAGATTGCAAACTTCATTTAAAGGTTGCAAATTGGTTTTAATTGCTTGATTTATAGTTTATTTCATCTAAGAAAACATTAAAAAATTCTTAGGTGAAAAAGCAAAACACGTAGGATCATTAATTAAGTCCTTTTACATTCAAGTATGAAAGTTGGACTGTCTTACGGACCTATCCAACCATCCTTTATTCTTTACGTATAAAAGTTCTTTTAATTAAGATAAGCATAAAAACCGCAAAACAATATGATTGAGAGAATTTTCAAATAAAGACTTCAATTTTATCTTATAACCCTCCTACCCAAAATTTTAGATCATTAGGCTTTCGTGGATGTTAATTCTATCATTGATTTAGTCACTAACAATTTTATTTTATTTTTTGAAAAATTTATATGTAAATTTTGTATATATATTTTTCAAATTGGGAAAACCTATATATTGATATTTAAAGTCTAAACTATATCCAAATTTATTACATATTAATCTTTTATTTCACAAATATTTTTTTTATAGTGATGTGTTCATTAAGTGATAACATGACGCATCATTCAAATATTTCAAACATAAATATCATTCAAATACCTCAAATATGAACATCATTTACAATAAACATAACCAAGTACTACACATAAATAAAATTTAAAAATTTTAAAACAATACAAAACCAAAAATTTAAATTTTTATCAAGCAATTTAAATATTTTTATTCATAAATCACAACACCTCCCAGTAAAATAAGCACAACCAACACAACAATGAAAGCAAAACACAACGAAGTAGGCCCAAATAGACTAACTTGAGTCTTGACAATTACAAATTACAAATAAAACTTTAAAAAAAAAAACATAAAAACTCTATACAGATCACTATTCCATTTACTCGTTCATGCACACTAATTGGCACCATTCACACACATCAATTCCATTATGCATTTTACTCGTTTATAAGCAAGTTTATAAAAAATTTGCACTTTGGTCCCTTATTTTTTAGAAATTTTTTTCGAACTCGAACTTCATTTGTATTACAATTTGGTCGCTGAATAGTTGGAGGAGAGAGAAACAGAGAGAGAGAGAAATCCGATGATATCCATTCCAACCACCGAGAGCATTGAACTCACAACCAATTTGTTCATTTTAAAGAATAGAATATGTCTATGATAATTACAAGCCATGAAATGGTCGGAGGAGATAGATCAATATTCAAAAATATTTTGAGTTTTTTTAGTTTGATGTGAATTTTTGTGTGTTTTGTATGTATTAAAATGAATTTTGAGGTTCTAAACGAGTTTGTCAACATTATTTTTGTGATTTTAAGGTGTTTTTAGATAAAAGTGGGCCCGAAGTTGGCTTTGAAGAGATTGAAAATTTAAAACCCCTTTTTTTTTTTTTTGACAATGTTCTACGTAAACTAAAATTAGTCAAAAATTATAGAGAAATGACGTGTCCAATTTTTTTTTTTTTTTTTTGGCCTTGGCTCTGTTTGGGCATGGAACTAGGCCCTAACACGTAGGCTTAGTCTCTAGCTAATTTTTTTTATTATGGATTTTGAAAAACAATTATGGAAGATCGAATATATATATATATATATATATATATATATATATATATATATATATATATATATATATATATTTGTTTCTCATGTAGTCCGACGAGGATGAAATATATATGAAAATTTTTAGATAATTTGCCTTAGATTTTTTTTTTATATATAATTTTTCTTTATACTACACACTCTCAACCAATCAAATATAGTCATGAGGTATAAATATTTTTCAAACTATCGATTTTATTAAAAATTAACTATGCATCTATATATATAACACCAACTATTTACTATTACTTTTTAATATTATAAAAGAAATTTCTTTGAAATAAAATTATTGAAATAATTTTTTAAAATAATCACCAAATGATTCAAATATAACTTTTAAGCTAAAATTATTGATTATTTTGTGAATAAGTAAATCAAATACATATACTTTCAAAAAATAATCTCCTCGTCAACATTAAATAAAAATAAAATTTTATTTTTTCATTTGTTAATTCTTATACAAGTCTATACATTAATTATAGTTTAACTTTTTGGATACAATCTTATGAAAAATATATTCTTAAAGTATTGTTTTTTTTTTTTCAATTTTGGATTTGTATTTTACTCGTAAATTATTATAATTTTTTATTTAAAAATCAAAGCATAAAGAAAAATAAATCATTTTTTAAGTAAAAATTTTGTGAAAAACATTAAAAAATTAATTAAATATAAGATTTTATCATAAAATTATAAAATATGAAATAATTTTGTTCTATCTAACTTACAACATAGTGTGGATAACTAGCTATAAAATAATATAAGCAAACCTCAAAAAAGTACCTCAACTATAAACAAATTTTTAATTGAGTCCTCAAACAATTTCTTATCACAATCCAATCACCAAAAAATCATAAGATCTCCTATCAAGTCCTCCATGTGTATTTGTTAATAAATTCCATCAAACCTCCAAAACTTGAAACTCTTGCATGCTTTAGAAAGTTCCCTACTCTAGTCTAGTTCCAAAATATGAGTTAGTTTTTTTGGTGATTGAAATGAAAGCTAGGTAGGCTATCCCACATTCTTCGAGTAGAGAATATTATGCTCACATCATACCATTTTTCTTTTATCCGGAAGGAACTATATAGAGACTATATTGAGATTTTTCTTTATATATATATATAATTTTCTTCATATAACTTTCCGATTATGTTGTAGTTCTTTCATGCTTGTCTCAATTAATAAAACTTAGAAACAATAAATAAATAAACAAATAGTTGGATTGTGGTCTACAAGACAACCCAACTTCCAAATTTTGTTTCTTATAAATTTAAATAACTATTATATATACTCTAATTTTTATACTAATTATATTTTTGGTATTTTTTTTAATGATAAACAGAATTTAACAAATTGAAAACAACTTGCAAACTCTATCAAGAGTTTGTAGTCTACCTAGACAAATTGTAAGACAATTTCCAAGGCTTATTATTAATAACTATAGTTAATTCAAGCTAATATTTTATCCTTTTTCAAGCCTAAATGCAAATGAAATGATATGTTTATACTAGTAGTTATGGAATTAAACAACACACAAGCAATTTAAAGTAAGGTTGCAAACTTCAAGAGTTAAAAGGAAATTTTCATTCATTGATGAAAAAATTTATATACAAATCAGAACTCTTCTTTTAGACATGATGTTCATGCAAGAATTCAATGCTCGAGGAATGGTTAGGAGCTTACGGACACTAATTAATTTGTTGTACAAGATAATATCAAGTGACAAACTATCGATCAAGAATATTACTCGTATACTTACTATTGTTTATAAATTATTACCCACAAGCTATAAGCTAATAGTTTTAAGTTTATCAAAACTTGGAAGATTGCTCTAAGTTCTGTTTGTACTTTGTAAATTTTTTGTTATTGCGTTGATTGATGTATTTCTCCTCTTTTACAACTTGTATTTATAGTCTTTTGGTTCTTCCATAATCCTTGAAATGCTTCATCTTCTTTTGCAAAATGTACACGTTGTCTTGCAATACTCCATGTTATTCATTCTTGTTATTATAACTCTGCATTAGTGTTTATATTCAGGAATTACTCCGTATGATTTATTCTTTTAACTAAAGATAACTGACACAACTACACTTTTCTAACCACTTTTTTTTTTAATTTTAAGAGTATATGGTGCATAATTCTCTCATCCGAACACATTAATCTTCTAATTACCCAATTGGACAAATTTTATGTACAACATATTCACTAATCTAAGTGGAAAATCACATCCGAAGCTTAACTTTACCTATTTAATCCAGACCATCTTTTTGTAACTTTCTCTACATGGCTAAAATTTAAATTCGTCACACTACGTGCTTCTCACACTCGTTTGTAAAACTTAAACTTCGTTACGCTAGGTGCTTCTCACACTCCCTTGTAAACAAGCTGGCATCAAAACCCGCAAATTAACAAAAGCAGGATCACAATGAAAAATAAATATTAATTGAGAAAAGATAACGAATAAAAGGAAGGATTCTCCAATAATGCAGCTAGCTAGGTGGGCTAAAAATGTGCAAAGCTAGATAATATCTCAGCCTCGTTGCTTTATTTAATTAAATCCTTTCTTGCACGAATACTCTACTTGATTTGATAATACTCTACTTGATTATTATTATTTTTTTTATCTCATATGTTGTTAGAGAACGAATAAGAAAAAGGGCCATGTACTTAATTGATGAGTGGTGGCATCAGCATCATTCTGCAATATTGTCATTGTAGTTGATCGCTTGATTATGTCTGAAAATGGTAAGTGACACCGAAAATCCATTACATGAAGGCACAATCAATGATTTTGTCGACTACAAGGGCCATCCTGTCTCCAAATCCAACCCTTGTGGCTGGAGATCGGCTTCTTTCGTTTTAGGTACAGTACACTGTACTTGATTTTCCAATTCAAGCCTTTTTTTTTTTTTAATTCTTTTTTTTGGTTCTCTCGGCCTTGTCAACCCAAATCCACACACAGACAGAGTCATCATGATGGCTCCAACCAAGAATGTGATGTACATCCTTTCACCATTTGCACGAGGAATTCCAGTGCCATCATTAACATTTTTTGAATCCGGTGAAGAGAATGTACATGAAATCCATGGCGAAGATACGTTTGACAGGCAGGTTCTATAAATGATGTTTGTTTTGTGTTTGTTCAGGCGTAGAAGTGACAGAGAGCTTTGCATTTTTTGGGCTTGCATCAAACCTTATAACGTATTTAAGAGGCCCACTTGGTCAGTCAGATGCTACAGCAGCTGAGAATGTTAATGCATGGTGTGGCGCTGCCTCGTTGCTGCCTCTTGTTGGGGCCATAATTGCTGATTCTTTTCTTGGCCACTATCGAACTGTTGTTATTGCTTCTGTTATCTATATCTTGGTTGGTGTCTCTCCCCTTCCATTTTTATTTGTCTCTGAAGATATGGCCAGAGGTATTTATATTTTGATAAAACTGTAAAGGTGGGAAAAATCATTCTTTAGATTAGAAAAAATAGAATTTCTTTCCACATGTTTCAGTAACACAGAAAACTATTGATTCCATAATTTGCTTGCTTAACGAGTTGATAAATAAAGCTTCCTTGCCTTCTGTTTTAAAATGATACATAACAATCTAAATGAACCCATATTAGGCTATGATATGGGAATCATAATACATAAAATATAGAGTAGCATACCTTATGTCAGCAAAAGATTTAGAATCTTTAATCAATTTTTTATTTTTTCGTTTTCTATTACTTCTAAAATGTAAATTTCATCCTATCAGTTTTCCCTTGGCAATGTCAAAGAAGTTCTGTTCTTCCTTTCGATATATGTAGTAGCAGTTGAACAAGGTGGTCATAGGCCTTGTATCCAGGCTGTTGGGGCCAATCAATTTGATGGGCAAGACCCAGAGGAGAGCAAAGGCAGAAGCTCATTCTTCAATTGGTGGACTTTTATGCATGAGCGTTATCTTAACACTTTCAATCTTAGTCTATGTCCAAGATTACATTAGCTGGGTTCTTGGATTTGGGATTCCCTATTTCCTGATGTTTCTTGCATTGGTTCTCTTCTTGCATGGAACTAAAACCTATAGGTATAAAACCAACGAAGGAAAGAGCCCCTTTATCAGAATTGGCCAGGTTTTTGTTGCAGCAATGGAGAATAGGCAGACCAGGGAAGCTGATCATAGAACCTTGGCCCATGAAGGTTGTGACCAATTCAAGTAAGAGATACTCTATGCAAAAAACTGGAATTTCATTGTTGTCTAGAGAAAGTAGTTCCTTGACCTGGACACTTGAATCCTCTAATGTCATAGGTTCCTCAACAGAGCCTTGCTTGTGCCGGATTGCTCAGGAAAAGATGGGTGCAGTATCGATGAGGTTCAAGAAGCAAAGGCAGTTTTTAAGTCTTATTCCTATATGGGCTACAAATCTATTATATGCCAATGTAGATGCACAATGCTTAACATTTTTCACCAAGCAAGGAGCCACTATGTATAGAACAATTGCATCAGGCTTCATAATACCAGCTGCTACACTTCAATCGTTCACAAGCCTCACCATCGTTATATTAGTCCCTATCTATGATCGCATCTTTGCCCCTTTATTAAGAGCTTTAACTAGGAAACCCACTGGAATTACAATGCTTCAAAGAATTGGAAATGGGTTTTTCTCAGCTACCATTTCAATGGTGGTTGCAGCTCTAGCTGAACTGAAAAGACTCAAAACAGCTGAAGAATATTGGCTCGTTGATCTGGCAAATGTTACAATTCCAATGAGTGTATGGTGATTGGTTCCTCAATACATCTTGATCGGAGCAGTAGATGGTTTTGCCAAGATTGTCTTGCAAGAGCTTCTCCATGTTCAAGTCCCCAGTGAAACGAGGAGTGTAGGCCTAAGTCTCTATCTCAGCATCTTTGGTGTAGGAGACTTATTAAGCAGCTTTCTTGCCCCTGCCATTGACAAAGCAACTGGCCGCAATGGCAAAGGAAGTTGGCTTGCTGATAATCGTAATCGGGCACATCTTGATTATTTCTATTGGCTACTTTCTGGGCTTGGTGCAGCAGGATTGATTGCCTACTTATATGTTGCTGATTCTTATGTTTATAAGAGGGCTGTAAACTATTCCTTCAACCATTAAAAATAACTGTAGCCTATATACACAGAAATGTACACTCTCTAGTAAAATGACTTTGAATCCAAACATTTTTTTTAATCATCGCCCAGTTCTGCTAGTAAATTGATTGACAAATCTCGGCAATCATTACTATATTTTCCTAGACCTGAAGTGGAAAACAAAATATATTGACAGAGATGCCACATAATTGATTCTGTCATTCTACTGCAAAAAAAGTTTAAATAAAATAAAAGTAGGTAGCAAAAGCGCAACAACAATTCAACGTTCATCACCTGCCAGTCCAAAAAGAAGAATGGCGATCACCCTCCGCTCTGAAATCATTTGGCCGCATCTCTTCATCAACAAATGTCGGCAATTGTCCTGCCACGGGGCTCCAGTTTACATGGCTGCTGTTATGGTTATAAGCACCAAGAGCCCAAGTATGGTGTAGTGGTGGAGGCTGAGATGGGAAGTAACAACCCCATGCCCGATCTACCATTGGTGGTGGTGGTGGTGGATAATGGGCTACAGGTGGGGGATAATAATTCTCTTGGGAGGAATACTGTATCCAATCTGAAGTATGATGAACGTGAGACACAGAAAATGTTTCTTGGGAGTTACCCTCCAAGTCCAAAGTCGGATAATGAACTTGTTCTGATAAACTTTGAACTTCCGATGTTGGATAGGGCTGATGATTAACTATTGGAAACCCGGTGATGTCAGTTTTGGAATAACTAGTCCCAATGTTCTTCACCTTGCAAGAGAAATTCAGGACCCCATTGGGTTTTCCATCTGGGGTTCGGACCTCGTAACTCAAAAACCTGACAATTCCATTAGCCTCCTGGATCAAATCTTTCAAGGGTACACGAACTTCACCAATAGTTTTGTCTCCAAAATAGAGACCTTCATGGCGGAGATCAAAGTGAACAAAGAGATGATCACAATCTTGAAATGAAACCTCGGTCAGATCGAAATGCATCTCATGATTCCACTCAGGATTCCCATCTCCTTCGTTGTCAGTGGGTGTTCTTTGTTGCTGTTTCTGCAGCTCCAATGCTTTCTTGTCTGGATCATCGTCACTCACAATTGAAACCAGTACATAAACTAAGAGTTTTTGAAAGAAATTGAAGGCGTTTAGATCTGTACAATACATGAGTTTGAGTTCCATGGAGCCTGAATCCATAGAATATGATTTTTGATGATTTATCTCTCCAATGCTTGGCCTAGAAGAACAGTTACAAAGATGGACGGAGTTAAGAAACTGATCCAATGAGATGTGAATTCTCACACGTAATATACTAGGCGGTACAGTAGCAATAGTCAATTTTAAGTTGTTTGGAGTCAAGTTTTGCCCATCTGACAAAAGTTATCCATTGTTCAGTGGTACCATATTTTCCTACGTGCACGATTCGCCTGAGTAAAAAAAGTTATAGTAGTTAAATAAATGATTTTGAATTCGACCTCATGTATTAAAAAAAATCTTTAGATAGTTATCTTTATTTTATATATTCGATAAAATAGTTAGGAATTAGTTTTAATCTTTAGATATGAATACCTTAAAGGATTAAAAAAAAAAAAAAGAGAGAGAGGAAGACAACTTATTGTTAAAGTTTTTGATTTTTTAAGTTTTACAATAAGAATGTTTTCAAATCAGTTTTCACATATTTCAAAACTATTTTTTATAAATAATTTCAAATCAAATTTTACATATTTTAAAATTAATCTCTTTCTAGATGTAATTGAAAGATACTTTTAATGTATAGTCTTAATTCTGAAAATAAATTTTCAAGAATATAAGTCATAAGGATCAAATCTTGAACTTGACTTACAAATCGACATTTACTTATTAGTAGGTTAATATTGTTGATGTAGATCCTAATGTAATACTCTCTCTCTCTCTCTCTCTCTCTCTCTCTCTCTCTCTCTCTATATATATATATATATATATATATATATATATATATATATATTCGATTTAGATTGATATATTAATTGATATTATTTTGAAAATGTTTAAAAATGCTTTTATTTAGTGGTACATCAATCCAAATTTTGAAACTAAAAAAAAAAAAGAGTATAACTTCATAACTACTAGTTCAGTTCTTTGAATTTTCCCAATAAAAATATTAATTTTCATACTAAAAGATTTTAGGTCTTTTCTTCTATATATATATAGATATATATAAACAATTTTTGGTCTACAAATAACCCAATTGATATTAATTCCAACATTAATTGAAATGGTTTTTAGTCAAATTTGACCAAATTAAATGTAATTAACATTTAATTAAATAATTTTATCAGGAATTTTTTTATAGTTAAAACCAATTTGATGGAAACTTAAGTTTATTACTTAACGGAAGAATCTGATTAAATTTCTGTTGTTGTTACGAACGACATTAAATAATTTATTCAGTAACTATCTTTGCTTTGCCTAATGGTGCAGATGTATTTGACACGTTGCTTTTAAGTTTATATATATGCACTCCAATGATTAAATACACTAATTTATTATAAGTTTTTTTAAACTTTAAATAAAATAATTCAAACTTCTCTTTATATATATATATATATATATTCATCGGAGGCTTAAGAATTTTTAGATTACACAATAAAAAATAATTCTATCCCATTACATAATTAAAAAAAAATTAAATACTAGAAAAGCTAACTGGTACATAATAGTTAGACTAAGTCTACTTACGCAAAATCATTCAAACTTTAATTATGAGAAAAATTAACTTGATAAATAATTTAAATAAAACATCTTCTTTGAAATTAAATGTATTGAATAATTATGTAATATACACGCGAATCATGTGCCAAGATAACTACTTATTAGAGAATTGTATATAAAATGCTATGCTGTAACTATACTGTTTATATTCCCCTTGAGAGCTGAATATATATATATATATATATATATATATTTGGTAATTGAGATTAGGGCTGTCATCTGATCAGATTCAGATCAGTTCATAGTAGATCCGAATTCAATTTGTTTAGTGAAACGGATCAAGTCGAATTTCATGAATTTAGATCGGGTTTTTAAAATGTGAAATTAGATTTGGAACTCCATCGGATTAATAACTTGATTTTTGTGAAAATTTTATGCTTCCTATATTTTATATATTACTCGAATATAAAATATATTTTAACCATTACATGTATAATAAAATATATTAAGATAATATTTCATTTATCAATTTTGGTAAAAAATATCAAAATGCCACACAATTCAAAAGCACAAAATCAAATAATTTTAATAAAAAATTGTTTTAAACTATGGAGGAAGTATCATAAAACTAAAATACACAAATAATAAATGTTTTTTATTTTTTGTCCACTTGATAGCAAAAATAGAGTGATGCAAATATAATAGCAAATATAATAACACTGACTCTTTAAAAGGTATATAAGTCAATTTATTTATATATTTTTTTCAAAATTAAATTAAGAAAATGACAAGAAATTTATATTTAATTTTTTTGAAAATACAATCGTCATTGTGAAAAAATATGCTTTATTTGAACTTGATAGTCAATAAACTCTAAACTCAACCTAGTTTCATATTTATATGTTTTTTTCATATTTAAATTTTTAATATTTAAAAAAATTTATATTTTTTTATGAAAATATTATTTTTAATTTCGAATTGGATTATTATCATATGAAATCAAAGTAGTTCCAGATTTAATCAATTTAATTAATATGTTAATGGATTCGGATCATAATCAGACTAAATTCAAAAAAAATATTTATTAAATCTATTTAGTTAAATTAGATTCGGACCGAATTCAGATTGAGATCTATTTAAAGCACTAATCAAAATTACCACTCAAATTTACGATTTAGCAAATCGACCTTCTTTCGAAAGCCATATATTCTCTTCTGCCAAAACTTAAATATACTAGCATATGGGCTATGGCCCTTTCCTAGCTCAAGCTCATAACTCGTTGCTCCAACCTATGATCTCTTAGTAAACTTAGACTCATCGTGGGCCAATATATCTAGCCATGACCCAAGTGTTATTTTCAGCAGTCAATAGTGATTTGTAACTTGTAAGAGAAATTAAAGAAAAAAGTTTTATGGTGATTTATAGATTGTTTCTTTTTTAACTTTTTATGCAAATTAAAAAATATATATATTATTAGGATTTTTTTATATATATTTTTTAAATGTTAGGGGGTCATGCTAATTTAGAAAACTAAAAACGTGATATAGAATCTTACTAAAAAATACTCCATTTATTGTAAAGAAATTATTAATAATGTTATTATAGTTATACCATATCAGTATTTTTTTTGTTCATACTTTCTTAAATTTTTTTTATTAGATTTTTTTAAAAAAATTTCACATATATTAAGATTTTTATTAGTTGTTAAATATTTTCTTATTCATACCTTTTAAAAAATATATATTTTTAAAAAATTGTATGTAGATAAATTTTTTCTCTCTAATTTAATAACAGGGACTAAGTTTGTTGACTCTATCAGCGGTGCTTCTTTCTTCCAGTGATTCTGGCTGCAAAACTACTAATGCTATCAGCTTGTGTTCAGGCTTTTGGAGCTGAAAAGTTTGATGGAAAGCAAAGCTAAAAGCTCGTTCTTCAATTGGTATTAATCTTAACCTACATCCAAGACAACCTTAATTGGGGTCTTGGATTTGGAATCCCATGTCTTGTGTTGGAACTAAGACATATAGGCATAGCATCAAAGGGGAAGAGAGAAGTGCATTTATGAGAATTGGCCAGGTATTTGTTGTAGCCGCGAAGAATTGACGAACTAACCTTTCTGAAATAGATTTCAAGGAAGAAGCTCTTGGAATCCTACCTCACCAATGTTCTGAGAAATTCAAGTAGGAGAAATCATTTTCCAAGCTCTTTTCCTTTCAACAGTTAGAACATGCAATAGAAAAATTTGTGTCCAGTGGTTGAATCAGTAAGATTAATTATGGCCTACATAACAAATGTATTTAGAATAATACATGATACTTGTATCTAAAATATATAATTGAATGTGAATCATATTATATATTATATTTGAAGTGTATTTAATTAATTAAGATACATATATTAATTTGATACATGTATATATGCAATTATGATATATGTATAGTTAAAGTGTATGAATGATACATGATACAAGTATCTAAAATATATAATTGAATGCGAACCATATTATACATTATATTTACGTGTATCTAATTATTTAAGATACATATATTAATTTAAAACTTTCATGTGGTAGCGGAGCTTGGTTTATGAACTCATGTTTTTTCATTTAGGATTATGGATTTCTCTCTTATTTGTGATTTTAAAATTCAAATTATGAATCCGAATTGATTACTTGTGACATATCAAAGTTTTTCCATACTCGGAGTATATATGTCATTAAAATTGCTTAAGTATTATATTTGCAATTTGAATATATATATATATATATATATATATATATATATATATATATTAAGAATGATTTGTTAGTCACTAAAGTGGCCAAATCTTAATGTGAATAAATTTTAGATTGCAAATTATTTTCAATTACCCATAAACCTTAGAGTTTTAAAAGACATTAAGTTATGTAATTATGTCCATTTGTGGGTCAATTGAAGCTTGTTCATAGAAGACATTTCGAGATCAGCCCAAAGGTTGATTAACTCGTTCTTATAATTGACAAACATAATTGCGGTGATTAGCATGTTCTATTTGTTTTGCTTTGCATATCCAAAGATAGCAAAATAAAGCTATTTAGTACATATGTTATTACCAATTATCATTTATGTTCGTATAACTTAGTATCACCCAAAGGAGAACTTTGATGTGCCCTATGTTTATATATTTAAATCTGAATTTATGACTCAAAGTATTAATATAAGAGTATCTTATTTACGATATTCGTACTGTTTCATTTCATTTGCATGCTTCATCCGTTCTTACATTTAATGGATTAAATTTCTCCTATTGGTGGGAACAAGTCCATTTTTATGTAGGTGTTTTGGATATTGATATATCACTTCAAGATGATATGCCTACCGATATTACCGATGAGAGTAGTATCGATGAAAGGGCTTTCCATCAAGCTTGGTAAAGATCGAGTAGATTGAGTTTAATGTTCATGCGAATGACGAGTGGCAAACAACATAAAGTCTACTTTTCTCAAAACTAATAGTGCTAAGGAATTT